GAGGTAGTGTGGGTGATATACTTACCTGCAACCTTCGATCATCAGGCGGGTACTCACGCCATAAAACTTTAGCTTTACACCTCTCAAGTCATTTCACATAGTCAAACCGAAGCCAAGTTCACCACGGTTTTCCTCAAGTTATTTATTTATTTATTATTCTTATTTTAATAAGAGTTTAACTTCAGTGACTATGGAAAATGACAGTGGGAACCTCGTTGGTAAGTGTGTGGGTATGTGTGTGTGTGTGTGCAGTGCTCTATGTCATTAAATTATATACATTGTCCTCATAATTTTGTATGTGCGTCTGTGTGCACGAATGTGCAGTGCCCTGTGTACGCTCATGTGTGTGTGTGTGTTGCCATATTCGCTATACGCTACTCCATAGATGAAAGCATGACTGCGCTAGACTGTTTCGTAGGACTTTTGTTGACATATAAGGATGTTGAACCTGGATAGACAGGTCTACCCAAGATGCATTTGATTGATGGATAAGTATGAACTCAACATGTCGCCCAACACTAGTGATACCCCTGAAAGGGAAAAGTGGTCGATTTTACTCACACCCACCTTACAATCCTACCGGATTATCGGTCCAAACCCCTGACACGGACACCCTTAAGTTTGAGGAACTAATCTGACAGAGTCGGAATGCCCACTGTGTGTGTGTGAGAGAGAGAGAGAGGGAGAGTTGGACAGAGATGGACAACGTTAGATCCATATAATCATGAACAATCAAGGACCGCTTACTCTGTATTGTGGTAGACCCTGCTATGCATTTGGTTATTCATGTCAATCTCTCTCAAAAGGGCAACTACGTTGCGGTTCACACTCAAAAGTAATTACAGAGTGAATACTTTATTTATTTATTTATTTTCTACTATTAGAAATTGAAAGTTGTATTGTATACAGAACACAAATACATATGGAAAGGTATATATATATATATAGAGAGAGAGAGACGGACAGTCAGACAAACAAACATAAGCAAGCAGGCAGAGAACCATGAAACGAACAGATAGACAAACACACACAGAAAGAGACAGAGAGAAGCAGGCGGACAAACAGAGACAGGACAAACAAACACATAAAAAGAGAGGGCGAGAAGGTGGACTCATGAAGAAGTGCACAATGAGATAGAAGAGGACGAAGAAGAAGAGAAAGTGGAGATTTGCGTACTTATGTTGCACGTGCGCTACAATGATGAACCCAACGAGTTGATTGTCCAGGTCGAAACGGTTCGGGTGATGTTCTTAAAGGTCCATTTTAACGAGAGTAGACTGCTGTAATTACCGATCTTGAATGGGGAATGCCTAGTAAATGTGATTCATCAGTTCGCACTGATTACGTCCCTGCACCTTGTCCCCACCGCCCGTGGTTCCTACTGAATGAATGGTTCGGTGAAGTATCTGGGTCACGGTGATCTCGGAGGTTTACCGCTAGGGGTGTTGTGTGAAGTTCATTAAATATTATCGAGTCGAAAGAGAAGAAAACACGAGGGAGAAGAAAAAGAAAGAAGAGGAAGGCATAAGAGCAAGAAAAGGGAGCAGGAAAAACGAAGAGAAAGACAAATAAAGGCAGTCAAACAGAAACAAACAGTCAAAAAGACGGATGCATAGAGACAAACGAAGGCATACACCAAATAAGCATACAAACACAGACAGAGAGACAGACAGATAAACGCGGGCAATTAAACAGACAGACACACACAGAGGGAATGAGAGAGAGAGAGAAGTAGAGAAAGAGACGTACTGGGTCGACCATTGGTCGTCGTTACTGTAGTTAGGCGACCATTGCCGGGGCGCGACGCTCTCTCAATTTGACTGTGTCAAACCAGGAAGATAGTTTAAACACATCGTTTTCCTTATAACTGTCATTCTTATTATTACTATATAACTATTATTATTATTATTATTATTATTATTATTATTATTATTATTATTATTACTATTATTATAATCAGGTTTGTTTTCACCGACATCCAACATGCATGACAACAAATAACAAACAAGCTGGCAACTTGCAAATAACAAGGCCGAAAACACAATCCAGACTCAAACTTGTTTTCAATTGGCTATGACCAATCACTGTACTCCCAACAACTTGTTTGCACACACGCAGCTCTGGAAACTCCTCGGATGTCTCACACATGAACATACAACACTTACATACACGCTCACACTAACTATACTAACCGGCAGCTATGGCTGCTGCCTACTTCCTATCACTCACACCGGCGGTATGGCCACGTCTTCCTCCTTTTGTCCCACTTCTCGTACGGGCGCCTACTGACCTCCGTATACAAGACGCTCAGACAACGCTTCTGCACGACTCACGAGCAGAATGAGATCCTTGACAGATCGTTGCCTCCTTGTTTTCAGATTGTCAAGGTCTACCCTTGAATGTTGGATCCAAGGTGCACACAGTCCCACATGGTACTTGCAGGCTTGAGGGCGACCGGGACTGGGTACCGCTGACTGGATAGGGTAGGACTGCCCGCTTGACCACTTGCCTACGGACTGGGACCGGGGACTCACGACGGGTCAGTTCCAGATCTTTCGGAAGACTATGTACTTGACCCTTCGGTACTATTGCGGCTACGACTCCTAACACTGCCCGAACCTCTAAACTACCGACCTACAGTTCAAGCTCACGACGGTCAACTGTCGCTGCTCATGGGTGAGGGTGGGGCCAAGGGATCAAGCCCTGGGAACTGCATCTGTTGCCGTAAAGGTGAAAATCGTTCTAACTGTATCGCTATTAGTATAATTAGAGAGAGAGAGAGAGAGAGAGAGAGAGAGAGAGAGAGAGAGAGAGAGAGAGAGAGAGAGAGAGAGAGAGAGACAGGAGGGTGATGGTAAAAGTTCATGTACCTAGTCTATGCAGAGGTCGACATCCTCATGTATTTCGGTTCTGTTGTTGATGTCAACTGGATGCATCGTCAATTCGTAGGCTGCTAGTAAGTTTTGTGATCATAGCTTAGGCGCAGAGTGCCAAGTAGAAAGGAGTCTGGACACATAGGCCAGTGGAGGCGAGAGTATGCTCACACTGACATTTGGATTCAGTAATTTG